GTCAGTATTAATTAAGAAAAGGAAAATCAGAGGCCATCATCACGATCTTACAACTGACCTGCTCTCCCTCTGTCATTTTTCCAGCCCAGGCATGATGAACCTCGGAACGATTGATGTCTATTTGAACACATTAGGGACCAGCCTCCAGACCGTGGCGTACAGTGATGAGGAGCAGGAGAATGAAGCCTGGAGGGGGTACCTGGAGAGGAAGAACGTTGTCCTGGAATTCCTGCACTCGGACTTGAGCCTCCACCTGCTCAGGCGCCACCACAAGAGGATCGAGTTGCTGAAGAAGTGCTCCTATTACATAGAAATCCTGCCTAAGCACTTGGCGCTGGGAGACCAGAACCACCTGATGCTCCCTACCACCTTGTTCCAACTGATAGACCCCTGGAGGTTCCAGAGGATGAAGAAAGTGGGAACCATCCAAACCAAAATCCAGCTCCTGCTCCTGTCTGACTTGTTGGAAGAGCTGGAGAGAGGTCGGCAAGAACTGGTCCACTTCCTGGAGAACTATGACATGATGACCTTCCTTTCCCAGTGGGACACCATCAAGCAGAGGTTATCGTACCTCTCGGACCAAATGGATTATTTCCTGGCTCTGCTGGTCCCTGGAAGGCTGTACGTCAAGCACCGCCTGGTATCGGACGTCGGGATCGCCAAAATCCCACACATCAGGCTAGTCCTCAGCACAAAATTGCCGCTGATGTTTGACCGAAGGGAATCGGTGGCATATGAGGACTGGGTGAGTCTCAAGTGGTTTGTAAATAGCCAGCAGCCGCAGCTGGAACAATACGAACTCCGGTTTAAGTTGCTGGAGTCCCGAACCCCGCAAGAGCGAGCCCACTGTGGCACAATGAACGTCACCTCGAACACGTTCGAAATTCACAACCTGCTGCCCGACCGCTTGTACAGATTCACCGTCAAGAGAGCAGAGACTTACACGCTTGTGTACGAACAGTGGCACGATTCCATCCTGCTTAAGACCAAACCGTACCTCGAGGAAGAAATGGAGAGTGCCACGTCTGAACCCTGATTTTCCCATGCTAACAATTCACAAGGAATGTCAAAATAAGTCAGATTAAAAACTTATTTTTAAAGTTTTGCCTTCCAAGGTGAACTTTTTCTTTCCTGAGATGGAAACTGGGCACAGTTATCATCTTTCAAATGAAATGCTGAAGTTGTTAAGCCGAGCAACATGGGAGCTATTAGGTTTACAGCAGGGGTGGGTGAGCGAGTTGATGTTTCTAGCCTATAGCTTCCATCATCCTAGCCAGTGTGGGAATTGTAGTCCAGAAACATCTGGAGGACGCAGCTGTCCGCTTCCAATCTAGTCACATTGTTTACTACAGGACGGCTTCCAGAAGTCTTTCAGTAATTTAGAACAAAACTTTTTAATATCACTAGGACTTGGCAGATTAGGGTAAATTCAAAAACAGATTTTTAAATCCAGAACTATTTTTAAGACGTAAAGAAAAGATGGAGAAAACAATTTCTGTGGCAGTTGGAATGCCAGCAGGAAACAATCTAATTTCACAAAATTAATATGTTCAGTCAGCTGTCACTATTATGATGGCTTTTTTATATGAAACAGCATAATTGGGTTTTTTAGCCACACACCTTTGTAAGGAGCTGAACGACATACAGATGTGAGACCCATAACTGTCTTAATACTTAACAGCTGAGGTTGATCACAAAATTGTGGTTTTTCTAGTTAATTAACTATATGAACTGGTTGTGTCTTATGCTACACCTACAGATGTCATACACAACCTAACAGAGGTGAGACACTCCTCAACCCAGCCCTGCTACCGTATGGGGCAAAGAGGAGCTCTTAATAACTTTATCTGTGGTGTGGCAATGTGCACTCTTCTGTTTTTGACATTTGCCAGGTTAGTTGGACAGTCGCACATAAAAAAAGGTTACCTGTAACTCTGGTTCTTCGAGCGGTCATTGGTGAATTCACACTCCGTGGGCATTCACAGAGACCACGAAGAAGAAGCATCTCTTGAAATTTGGGTGACTTTATTATGGAAGCTCTTGTGTAGGTCCAGATGAGCTGAGAATCTTGACAGTGAATGAAGTCAAGCAGCTTTAGGCTAAAGTAGAGGGATGGCTGTTATGGAACGACCCTGGACAGACTGTTGCCCAATACAGATTTAATTTAACCACGACTGCTGGCTTCCTACCCTATCACAGCCCTGGCTCAGAAAGCCACAAAAAATAAAAGAAGCAAAGGTAAATCTTAGTACATAATCTGGTCAATGTTGATCTTTACTGCCAAATCTTAAGATTCTTGGAGTAGGAGAAGCAAGGGAAAAAATGGCCAATAAATGCTCAAGTCACCTTCCTTCCATAAATGTCCGTTAAAATTCTCATTTCCATCACATGTTGGTAAATTTGTAAATGTAAAAAAAACAAAACCCAAGCCAAACCAAGAAACCCACCATATAGGGCATTTCTTTCTGGCCTTCCTAACATTTGCCAAATGTTACTTCAGTTTTTGACATAAAATTTTAACATGTACTTTGCCCAGAAAGACCTGCTGGTGGTGTAGTTGCAGTGACCGGCCGGCCAGATGGGCCTCGAGCAGACTGCACTCTAGAGCTTTATTGGGAGAGGGAAGGAAATGGGGTGGGAAGGAGCCATTGCTATGTGCTCCTTCAAGTCACCTCTGATTTATGGCGACCCTATGAATAAGCAATCTTTAAAACGTACTGTCCTACTCAGCTCTTGTTAACTCAAGCCAGTGGAGTCCTTTATGAAGTCAGTCCATCTTGCATTGAGTCTTCCTCTTTTCCTGCTGCCTTCAACTTTTCCTAGCACTACTGTCTTTTCCAGTGAATCTGCATGCATTCCCCCACTGGCCACATTTATGATTATAACCAGAATTGAGAAGCAAATTTTATTTTGTGTATCCAGTCATCTTTATTTAAAATAGTTCTCTTAAAAGGACCCAAGGCTTTACAATATTTATTCAATGGAATGTTAAAAATCCATATAAACACCACAAATATTTTATCAACTAGAGAAACATATTTCAGGGTACTAAAAGGCTTTCATTTATGAAGATTTAATTTCAGCACACTACAGAATCCAAGAGACAAATACCGTCCAAACAAATTAATTCAAGATACTTATTACATACATATATTACATATAAAAATACACACTGTTGGTCACATTTCTGAAATATTTTAGTCCGTTCTACAAATTCCCCAAAATTTCAGGCACAATTCCATACCGCATGATTCTGAAATAAAAGGGATGTCCATAAAAATCAAGGCAGAATCACTTTCTCCAGACTCATGCAGCTCAATTCCTGCTGGAACTGTATTGCACCAAATATAAAGATTCTCTCGTTTTATACTGATGGTTTTTGTCACTAAGAAGGTACTTGTATACAGGCTCCCATCACTACAAAGTCTTAAAAGCTCTGAACTGAATAGGTTTTTTTGCAAAGCCCAATAATTTATATCTGGCTTAAATTTATATACATTCCGTAGATTTAAAAATTCTGAAATTCAATATCAATCTGGATGTTAATAGTTAGGACAGAGATTTTTAAAAAGCCAGTGGTCATGACGGTTGGGGGATTAAAGGCTCACGGATTTATTTCACTGTGAACCACTGCTTTAATTCCCATCGGGCATGGCCAGAGAAGTGCCCCATGGGTTACGTTTAGCACTTCCTCTCTTCAAAATAGCAGCGATCTAGAGACCCTGAACAACTACTGTAAGGGATTTCAATGCTCGCCTCTTCCTAGAAAAGAGTGCATTGGGACATTATGAGCTACCGATCTCACGGCCACAAGAAAAAGAAGTGAATAAGCGGACTGAAAACGCTGGCAAGTCCATAAAAAGGCCATCGCGAATTCAGGAGGAAAAGGGCTTTGGGAATGGCCTCTGGTGATCCAGCTTGCCTTTCGAGGAGAGGCGAGTGGTTAGAGATACAGGCAGGGGTCTCTGGAAGCCGGAAACCGCAACAGCGTAAGGCACAAACGTGGCGAAAAGGAATACAAGTGGCACATAACATGCACAGCCTCCAAAAAAGGACCAAGTTATCCAGTTAAAAGTATGAGCAAAGAGGAACAGGCAGAAGAAGAAAAAAAGATACAAGACAAGAGGTGTGGGGAGCCAAAAGCATAAATAACCACAGAGTCAACTGTGAAAAGTGAAGGTCGCCCCAGGTGACCAGCCATACTAGCATTAAGAATTGGACGATTTACAAAAATTTGTTTTGTTTTTGTTTCAGAACACTTTTCATTAACACAGTATGTCTATGCAGGCAGAAGAAATAAGGAGTCAGATAACCTGGTCCTTTTTGAGGCTGGTTCAAGAACTTATGTGTATGTTATATGCCGTCAAGTCGCCTCTGACATACAGCAACTTTAAAAGGGCGTTCAAGGGAAATGAGATATTTGAGGAGTGGTTTTACCTGTTCCACACTCCCAATGAGTTTCCATGGCTGAGTGGGTGATTCGAACTCAGGCCTCCTGAGCCCATCCCCACCACACCAGGTACCAAAGAATTTCTAGAGATGTATTATTATGTCCCCACAACGACTTGTTGTTTCTTTAATCACTGGCCACGAATCAATTATTAATTCAAAATCAACTCTTCAAGAGTAAAATTATTCAGATAATATTTGGGGGGGGGGAGCTGGGAGGCAATTAGTCGTATTGGTAATCTTGGAAAGTCACCTTTTCACATTTCAGGTTACTGAGGTAGAAACAGTGGGAAAAACAATAGTGTCATTTTGCTTTCTTTGCTATCAGAATCCCTGATAATTATTATTTCTTATAATTATTATTATAAGTTTACGTTTATGGAGACAACTACTCCTATAACAGGATCCTTTCCCCCTCAAAAACACACATACACAATACACACACACAACCCAGAAGGCTTCTGGTTTGCAGAATCCCCTCACAACAATCACATACCCTTGCTTTCAGAATTCAAAGACAATTCTCCTTCCATTATTAAAGAGCAGCTCCATCAATTGCAATAAATTAGGTACACTAAAATTATAAACACTTTTAAAAAAAAGGATAAGCACACAGAACACAGCGTACTGTATTACAGTCCATGAGCTTCCGGAAGAATTTCAGTGGCATCACCATTGTGTAGCCGAAATTCAACTCCGGTTTTTCTTGCACCGTTATAAGTAGGTACACTGAAAAGCAATCATGGGCCAGAACAGCTGAATTCGGCAAAATGGCAACACAAAAAGACAGATGAACCCTATCCAGTTTGAGCATCATGCGCACAAACCCCTGGGCTCTTTGGAACAAGTTTCATGAAGATTTTTTTTAAAGTTGCCATTAGATATACATAGAAATTGGAATGATCTCTTTTTTACGGTGTTCTTTCCCTTCTAAAAGTGCAAAATGTCTAACTCATGTAGAAACCAGCAGTATGATGCATACTGATTTGTTCCATTGAGAAACGGTAGACTGTTCTATCCCAGCCATGTTGGACTACAAACCCAATTCTCCCCAGCCTGCTGGGGTCTACCACATCTGAAGGCCACCAGGGTGCAAAAGCAGCAGAAAACCGTGTTCAGGAATGTTGAAATACATGTACAAACACATGCACTCATCCTAGCTGTACTATTAGACTCTTAGGTAGTTTCAACAGCACTTCTTTGGAATGAGGGCCACTGTCACTCCCTCGTGCACATCGAAGGCTCAACGGGGAAAAGACCGACCACCTTGCACAGCATCGCAGTTTTATGATAATTTTTCGCCTGTCAGGCTAAATTTTCGTTATGAGGGACTCCACACATTCAGAATTGCTGGTCAGCCTGAACAAAGGACACGGAACGGAGAAGTTTCCTCAGATTCGTGGTTCCCTCATCAGACCCCCTCAAGTGCAAATGTGTGTTTTTTGAAAGTTTAAAAATGGGATCAGTAAAAGGAAATGCTTCCAGTTTAAAAAATTTAAAGCTTTTAAAAATATATTTCTACACGATTTCCCTGACAAGAGACACCACCTGGGCTAATCCATGTTTGATGGCCACGATGAATGGTTTCTAGAAAAATAAAACACGGGTCTCATCTACATCCTATTTATATGGCTGTTTGTTGCCATGTCAAGAAATGTTCCCATTTCTTCATTGAAAAGGCAATAAAGGCAATAAAACTCTTGAGCAAAGAACTCCTGCAATTCCAGTGAGTGGCAATACCGATTTCTTTGGCTCCATAGAAGCAGGACTGACAACTTTAAAAAAAAAAATTGGACCTCCTTTTGGTTTAAGCAGCATCCGTTCAGTTCCCAAAAGCAAAACTGAGATATATTACCAGATGTAGCAAACCGGGGGGGTTTGAACAGAGCACCCGCGTTCTTGAATCCCCACACCCAAAAAAGTCGGCTTGTTTTCTCTTCCAGAAGAAAAGGGTTGAGAAAAGGTAAGTGGGGAGGGGGGAAATCATCCATGGCTGGAATCTCAAAAGCAGGTACGAAATGCGGGAGAGCATCCTCATTGCTGCAACCCGCCGAGCCTTTGGGAGTTTGTTCTGGCCTTGGCCCATCGGAGTCGGCAGTGGCAGAGGGAGGCAGGCCAGCGCAGGATCCAGGCCACGGCGAAGGCCAGGAACCATCTGAAGTCACACATTCATGCCCGCGCAGCTCAGCGTAGGAATCACTCGTCCCTTTTTAGGAAGGCGGAAAGGTGCTTCAGATGCGGATCCAGGTGTCACAGAGTCAGCGAGCTACATGTTGTACCGAGGAAGGAGCGGAACAGCCGGCGCCTTCCTAATGCAAATGGAACTGGCGGCAGTGGCACACCCTTGAGTCCTGTAATGTTCCAGAAGTCCTCGCCACAGCGGGTTGCATTCCAGGAGATACCGGTTCCCTAGAAAGAGAAGACAGGGAGGAGAACAGTCAAGGGACAAGGACGCATGCCATCTGGCGGCGTCCTGTTTTCACCGGCCTAGAACTCAAGAGGACGGCAGCTGGAGGCCTGTGGGAGTTCTTGTTCCAGAAAAGCAGCCCTTCTAGAGTCCCTGCTCCAAGGCCTTGTAGGGTTTTCTTCCTACTTCCCCCTCAACTCACACCAGATCCGTATTCCCACATTCAGTGGTAGCCTGGGTGAATGAGAATTTCAAATAAAACACATTTTCCCTTCTCTATGTCTGGCGGGTGGCAAGTTGAACCCCTGAAAGGCTAGCTCTGGGGGGCTAACAGCAGCGCATGAAGAGACCCGAGCGGCAGGAAGACCACCTCTTACGTCGCGGCCAGTCAGGCTAAGGCAAAGGAAAATCCTCGCAGCGTTGGCCAACAAGAGTAGATCTCACCCCAAAGGAAAACGCCGGCCACTTCGGCCCTGAAAGCAGATCTCTCGCCCTCTTTTGCCAAAGGCCAAGGGAAAAGGAGAAACGTGGGAGGGGAAAAAACTCACTGTAACAACTGAATTGCTTGCCAGTGGGGTCCCCACACCCGCCTACTTTTCATGTCCCTACAAGGCAATGAATTACTTCATCAGAAACACTGATGAGTTCCCAAGAACTGAATACAGTGGTGCCCCGCTAGATGCTTACCCTGGTAGACGACGAAATCACTTCACGGTGAGTATTTTGCAATCACTATTGCGATCGCAAAATGGTGTTTAGATGGGGAAAATCTTCTTGACGACAATCAGTTCCCTGCTTCGGAAACTGATTTTTCGCTTTATGATGCTCAAAACAGCTGATTGTCGGGTTTCAAAATGGCTGCCCACTGTTTCAAAATGGCCCCCCGCTATGTTTCCTCGCTTTATGGGCACCAGAAAATGAGCACCCTATGGAGGATCTTCACTTTACAATGAGGTATTTCACCCATTAGAACACATTAACCGGTTTTTAATGCATTCTAATGGGTTTTTTTTACTTTCGCTTGACGACGATTTTCAATGGGTAGCCGCCCTATGGAGGATCTTCACTGGACATTTTGCTGGAACGGATTATCATCGTCAAACGAGGCACTGTACAGTGCTTCCAGAGGATGGGGACTTGAGTCACAGGGACTTGCCATCAAGTCGGACTTAAGTCGCAACGGGGACTTCAGTCAAACATGACTTGGGACTTTTTTTTTCCAACTCGAATCAGAACACCCACCCCTCTTTTTTTCTGAGGCAAAAACCTTGTTTTTAATAGAGACTCAGACTAGGGACTCCAGGCTTGGTATCAAAGATTCCCTAACATCCCTGGTGCTTCCTAAGGAGACTTGGGATAAAGCTACTCTTCTAAAGGACTACATCTCCCAGTCTCCCCCCAGCTGCCAGTCACCAGCGATGCTCTTCGTATGTCAGAGCTTTTGACTTACTACTTTTGTTCTGGGCTACAAGTTCTGAGAACTTGCCAAAAGCAACAGATTAAAGTTATGGGCCCTAGTTAGCCTCTGAATCACACACACACACACACAAAAACGTTTTCCTTCCTCTACCACTCCCTCCCCCCCATCACTTACCAATAATACACAGCCCCTCCTGTGCCCGAGTGATAGCGACGTTGATCTGGTTAGCGTCGCACACAAACCCCAGGTGTTTCTTCTGCCAGCTCAGCGTGGGATTCTTATCAATCTCAGACCGGGAGCACGACCGGACAGTGGTCAAAATCACATACTTCCATTCGCTTCCTGGAAGGGAGGGGGGGGGAGAATTAAAAATTGCAACAGAGTTAGGGATGCTCAGTTCCGAGAGGGACCAGTGGAAGTGGAGGCCGTGGCATCTCCAGAGGTCTATCATCCTGCCTGATATGGCGACTGCTCACCTTGGCTTTTCATGATGGAGCAAACAGTGACATTTTGCACTACGGCTTGGGCAAGAAGCTTCTTGATCTCAAAGACCTGGGCGTTGTAAGGGGTTAGGATGGCGATCTGTTCAGGCTTGGTGGTCTTGTCCAAGGTCAACTGTTTGGCTATCCGCACCTGGAGCAAAAACAAAACAAGCAGCACATCAAAAAACAACAACATCCTTTTGGATGACATGGTATTAAAGCATGACCAAAAGAAAGCCAGCTGAGCTATGAGGACGGAAACGTTCCTGATCCTGCAGAAGTGGGTTTCACTGACAATTTGTTTACACAGAGTGGTAGAATATACACAGCATTGATATTCCACACTTCGTGTGCTCCCACAGCTTTGTCGGCGGCCACAACTACATCCACCAATACAAATCCAATAAAACTGCACGAAGGCTAACAGGTTGATATCCATGTGAGCTTTTGTGGGTTACAATCCAATTCTTCAGATACCTTTTCAGGTCACAGTGGCTGAAACCCAGCTGCAAGTCATAAGCAGGGTAGGCCCATTGAATCAATGGAGATTTGGTGAGTCAAGGACCTACGTAAGTTGTACTGATTCAACAGCTCTACTCTAGTTGTGATTTACTACTGGATTTCAGCCAGTGGACTGAAATGCACAAAAGCTCAAACTAAGTGAATTTGTTCATCTTAAAAAGTTTCACAGAACTCTGGTTGAATCTGGTTTTGTTTTCGCTGAAGAGTAACCAAGCTAATTCTCCAAACTCAGCAACACTGGGATAAAAACAGGGAAAAAAGCAAAAAAAATAATTAAGAGTAAAACTCATGAACCAACACATGCCCATTCTGAGAGAGCTTCATTATATGATGAAATGATTATCTTCATCATACAGCGAAAGAATGCAACGGCATGTCTAGACAGATCCAAATCTGATTAACTGAATCCGTGGCTACAATGGAATTCTAGCCTCTGTCTACTAGGCCAGCTTGCAAACTGACCAGGAATAAGCGAACCAACAAATAAATGAATGAATATCCAAGATTATTATAAACAGAATTATAAACAGTCTGAATTCCAGAATTTCAGAAAACAGCATCTGACACTTATCACGGGTGGATAAGCATCTTCACCTTCTCACGGCTGCAGGCCAAGCTTCTCTGACCAACAGGGTAACAGCAAACAGAGATTCCGTTGACTGCTTATTACCGTCTCCTCCTGCTTGCCAAGGATACTTCTTGCAGATTTACTCGCCACCTCTTTGGCTTCCTCAAGATTGGCCCTGGAGTTCTCATTCCCCTCCTCTGTGGAGACCATGAGGCTCCTCTCTTTTCCTTCTATATGACCGAAGATGATGGCGCAGCAGGCTCTGTCTCTGTGGCCAAGGGCACTGGGACCACGAACGAGGTAGGGACACGTCTTGAGTTTCCTGTTGTAAAAGGCTTCCGATGGGAACCTACAGATGTCCTGGTGCTGCAGAGTCAAAAAGAGAGGAGTTTCCCCCAAAAAATCACATGGCTCATCATCATGAGAGGTCGAAAAAGTCATACGTCTGGTCACGTGCCTTGAGTGCAACCCACATACACCCTTGCACTTGGTCAATTAGCTGCGATTAGCCATGGCAAGTTACCCAAAGCTCCAGGATTCTGGCCGATAAGTGAATCTTAGCAAATGTTCTATGTGAGAAGAACTTAGGTAGAGTTTTTAGCTGATTGAATGGAGGAATTGATGGATTTTAAAGAGCTCCATTATTTTTTCAGCTGGTTCAGTGAAAGAAACTGGGTTCCGAGGACTTGGTAGAATCCATGGAGTTGAAGGAAAAGCTTCTGGGAAGTTATAATGGGGACATGTGCTCAGCTTACTGTTCAATGAGTTTAGCTGTGGAATTTTGCCAGTTCTTAAATTCTCATCTCGCCCCTACAGCAGCCTTTACAATGCGCAGGGCTTCGTTTTCCAGTAATCCAAAGAGATGCTCATCCAGAGAACTCAATAAACCGTGTCTATTACAAACAGTAGATTCTGTTTGGTCAATAAAGCTTTGGCATCATGCTGGGCAGACTGGTTCTGGGCAAGTCTGCAGGTCTTTCATTTCCATGTCTCCCTCCCTCCCTTCCAAGACCTTAAGCGTCCACAGGTATTCCCACCTCCCCATTGTTCCCTCAAAGGACCACTGCATGCCTCTGTTCTAGCAGTCAACCTCCTCCTTCTGTCCTTCACCCTGATATTCCAGGCAGAGCCCCCAATGCTTACCATGCGATACTGCGTGTCCAGCATCACGGCCTGGTCCTTGTAGCGCTCAAAAAGCGAGGTCTCCATGCCCAGGGCCCTGCAGAAGTCATTGTGGACCACCGGCCTCAGCTGCTTACGGTCTCCCAGCAAGACCACCTAGAAAGAATTTGGGAGAAGCCCTCAAAGTCAGTTACTCCTAGCACATTAGAAGGTCAAAGATGGATAACCAGTGGCAGCCCACCCAGGAGGAGGTGGCACATCATACTTTCAGTAGGACACAGCAATGGAGGGAGTGTGAATTCGTAATAACAGCTATAACAGCCCTCCACCCCACCTGGATCATTCCTGTGCGCCACCAGTGGTGCATGTCCAAGTTGACCTTGGACAAGACCACCAAGCTTTCAGGCAGGAATCTTCCCTACCCGAGTACCTGGTGACCCCTGGTATCCCCTTTTATGGTCTGCCACTCCAGGGCATCAAGGTTCTAGGCCATCGCGAGCACCACCCTCACTCACCTTCTCAATTTTTCCATAGTTGGCCAAGGGGATGAGTGTTTCCGGTTCGGTGGCCATGGCGCATTCATCCACCAGCACTTGCTTGACGTGCAAGCGCTCCACCAGCGCAGAGCCACAAGAGGCGGAGCACGTGCAAAGGATGACGTCGTGACGTTGCAGTTCAAATTCCCGTGCCTTGTTCAGCAACCGCTTGTACCTACAAGGTGAGCAAGGCAACCTCTCAGTTCCACACAACAGGGCTCAGAGGACTGGAGCGGCAGGGTGGCCACTCTGCGTTAAAAGCAAAAAAACACACACATACACCAGTCTGCACCCAGGAAATCTAAATCCTGCTCTCTCCACCTCCTCAAGAGATCTTTAATTCTACAACCTGCATAAAAATGGAACCGATCGGCAAGATCTCCTTTGGCGGTTTCGCTCTACGCTCCTATTTGAGGGGCACCCATTTGGTTCAGGGCTCTGAAGCTGCACCACTACGACCCATTTTTTCTCCAGGCTTTGCCCAAGTGGTTTCAGAAAAATTCTCACAAGGTCTAGAAACTTGATTTTAAATGTCCTGGACTCTAACCGCCCTGGGGACGTAGTGGTGCTGTGGGTTAAACTGTATTGAATTTTAATTATTCTAAGCCGCCCAGAGACCTCTGGGTAGTGTGAGCGGCATATAAATTAAATTAAATTAAATTAAATAAATAAATAAATAAATAAATAAAGCCTCTGTGCTGCAAGGTCAGAAGACCATCCGTCGTAAGATCGAATCCACGCGACGGAGGGAGCTCCCGTCGCTTGTCCCAGCTCCTGCCAACCTAGCAGTTCAAAAGCATGCAAATGCAAGTAGATAAATAGGTACCACCATGGGTGGGGGGACCACATGTCCTAGGGGGGCGGTCTTAGCAAACAGTATTAAGCTCTAGAAGATTCTGGAAACCTCTGCGCAGGCGCAGATAAAACCCATTAGTGTGCATTCACAGAGACTACGAAGAAGAAGCCACGGCTCCCTGAACACAGACATCACAAAGAACTGTAGTCTGCTTAGAAGCCGAAACAGGTGTTTTTCCACCTTTGTCTGGCTTAAAGAAAGAGGGGGAAAAGGGGAAGTTCAGAAGCCCAAGATTCGTGAAAGCCGCGTTTTCCCACAACATCCAAACAGGTCAACAAGCTGCATAAAAAAGTCGGGAGACTTTGAAAGAATGTTTTCAAGGGATGCACAGAAAAGCCCTGTCAGAAACAAACTTCCTCATTTAACTCTCAGAGGAAATATTGATGTGCGTTAACACTCACTCCTCAATTTCGTCCTCGGTCATCTCCTCTCCTCTTTTCACACGCGCGTCAAAGGCACGGATTGCTGAAGCATAAGGATTGGGTGCGTTACGGATCCGGTAGTGCAAAGTCATGGCCCTGGTGCAGAAAGGATGTTTTAAAGTTAAAGAATAAACGTTTACACACAACACCCAGGCATAAACAGCTACCCCTCAGCATCCCTTGTATACAAACGTCTGAAAGTCTAACACAAAATCCCCAGTTTTGAAGGCTGGAAACCTGAATTGGATACGAATTTTATTGTCAATCTCTTAATTTTTTTCAAGAGCTACTTTTCCAACCCCAAATAAGAAAATTTGGTTGCTGCTTTCCCCCTCCACTTCCTAAGCCCCACAAAAGCAGGCTCAAACGGCTGCAGAAGTGAAGGGGGAAAGCAGCAATGAAAGAAAGGACTGCAGGATCAAAGAGCTGCGATCCTGCAGCAAAAGAAAGGGCTACAGGATCAAAAAGCTGCGATACCGCAGCACTTTGATCCCTTTCCCCTTACTTCCGTGTATAAAATGACCCTCAATTTTTACGCCAACTATTTTAGGAAAAAGTATTGTCTTATACATGGAAAAATACAGTCGCTTATTTCCTGCTTGCAACAGTTGTTATTTGCTATATCCAAACTAGCACACTATAGCTTGCTGTCAAACCAGCTTTAAACCACAATTGTAATCCAGGTTTGCAGGGCAAAAACAAACCATAGTTTGTCAGCTCAGATATGATGGCAAACGCCAATTATTTTAGGAAAAAGTATTGTCTTATACATGGAAAAATACAGTCGCTTATTTCCTGCTTGCAACAGTTGTTATTTGCTATATCCAAACTAGCACACTATAGCTTGCTGTCAAACCAGCTTTAAACCACAATTGTAATCCAGGTTTGCAGGGCAAAAACAAACCATAGTTTGTCAGCTCAGATATGATGGCAAACTACAAATTGCAATAAAATAGTAAACAGCCAATTCAATTTAAGGGGTAAAAAGTTGGGAAAGGTTACAAGATGAGTGTTTGATATATTCCCAGATCACTCTTCTAGTGCCAAATCATGGTTTAGCGTTATGTCTGAACCATATGAGCAGGGATGATGATTCCTTTGAATCCATACAAAGACATAGAACTAAAAAGGTCTTCCAAGCTACAAAAGGCTTTGTCCTTTAAATCAAAGGCAGGCAGTTGTTCACACCTGATCTCCGGCTTTGATTTTGCATCCCGCTGGGCTTTCCAGGAGACACGCATGTTGCTACCAGGATAAGGGAACTCCATGGCCTCGATAGCTTCTCCGTACACCCTCAAGGGCCTCAGAGACTGCCTCATCTTCAACAGCATCTCTGCAAAGGAAGCAAAGCAGTTCCTCAGAACACGAAAGTCTTGGGCGTTTACAAGCACCCAAAATAGATCCTGCAGGCATGATACTGTTCCAGCTAACAACAGCAATAAGATGCTGCAAACTTTCAGCTGTTTGCTGCTGTGCGAATAAGCCTCAGGCATGCGAGATCTTTCCACACTAAGAACGATAGTTGCAGGACTTCAGTTACCAGGCGCAAGGAAACGTCTTGGCGAAACAACTCCAATAGAATTAAAGGAATTAAAACAGAAAAGGGAGGCCCTTGAACAGGACAATAGAGCACCCTCTGAAGAAGGGCAGCAACAACAGAAGTTACAGAACAGCAACGCACAGTTTATCTAAAATCATTTACCGGCAACAACATCGACGGACTTGTTCGAGGGCCCGCAGTACAGGATGTGGGCCTTCGCCTTCGCTAGATCGTCCAGATTTTGCTCCTTGCCTTTGAATTCCCGATTCAGCTGATGAAACCAGTAGACAATGTGAGTCCCAACGACAGTTTTCCCAGTTCCTGAGGGAAAGGGGGCGGGGGAGGGGGGAGAGAGAGAGAAATCACTAATAGAAGCCCATCACAATCTGTGGCTGCAGGGACTCCCTCAAGCAAATAAGCAGCTCAGAGAGTTGGAGCACCTGGCCAGCAGCCGGGAGTTCGATTCCCCACTGTGCCCGCCTGAGGAGCCTCGGGCAAGCTGTATGGTCTCAGAGTACCTTCCAAAAGAGAATACCCTTCAAAAGAGAATAGGAAACTGCTTCTGAGTGCTCTAGACCAGTGGTCCCTTAGCCTTGGGCCTCCAGATGTTCTTGGACTTCCAACTCCCAGAAATCCTGGCCATCAGAGGTGGTAGTGAAGGCTTCTGGGAGTTGTAGTCCAAGAACATCTGGAGGCCCGAGGTTGGGGACCACTGCTCTAGACTGATGCCGGCCCCTCTCCGTTATAGACTTCGGCCGACCACCGAAGAGCCACGTTTTCAGGCAGGCTCTTAACACTCACGATTGAGTTCCAGAATGCCTTTCTAAAGTTCAGATGGTTTTAAATGTCAACTTGCTTTTAATGATCCTATTGTTATTTTAATGAGCGCATGGTTTAATTTTTTTTAAATGTTTAATTATTAAGTTTTCAATTCCTTTTAACATCGTTGGGCTGCCTCAGGTCCTCTTAGGGGGAGAAAGGCCGCCTCTAAATAAAACAAACACACACCTTGAAAACCCTGTAAAGGGAGACCCTAAGTCAGAATTGACTTGACGGCATGTAATGATCATTTTGATTACATCACAAGGCTAAGTATTCTCGCTCACCACCTAAGGAGAGCCGTGCCGGATTCAATCAGCCGATGGCCACCCAACCCAGAGAACTCAGTGGCCTTGGAGTAGATTTAAGTGCAAGATCGCAAATTTTGTCCTTCAAGGCCCTTCAAGACTCTTTTTTCTGACTCTTAAGAATGTGAGCCAGTGACATAGGTTCCCTGCTTGCCTCTCCTCTCCTTCACGACAAACTGCCGCAGGAATCACGATGAAAGAGAGATTTTTTAGACTGGAGGGTTGCTACACCCAGACTGAACAGCCCCCTGCTAAGAATACTTGCATCAGCCTGGGGTCAGGCTAGATTGTCCCCAGAGATCCCTTCAAATGATAATTCTACAGTTTTGTGTTCTATAGAAAGCCAGAGGGCAGCAGAGATAATAATAAGTAACAGCCCTCACTGCCAAGGATGCTTTGCACACTGAGGAAAGGGCGGAGGGGGGGTGGAAATGCCTCTCCATGTTGTTTCAGGATGAGGTGTCTCCCGCATCACCTCAACCCGTTCCTCAGCTGCCAGGGGCATCTGCTGTTGCCTTACCTGGTGGGCCTTGAATCAGAGTGAATGGCCTTCTCAAAGCCTCAAAAATGGCACGATTCTGACTGGGATTCAGTCTCCGAGAGCTTCCAGGAAGATCGAAACTTCTCTGCCTCAAGAGGTTTGACATCTCCATCGCTATTGGATTTGTAGGAGAAAGGAAAGCAAAAGGACACCTCAAACATACGCTGCAAGAGGACATACCTTAGCCTCAACCTAGGCTCAGGTTCTCTGATCAGATACAAGATGATGAATTTTGGGAAGCCAGAGAGAGACACTTCAAGGGTTGTGTTTAACATCATTTAGTTCCATAGAGCAGGACTGGAAACAGGTGCCCCTCCAGACTGCAAATCCCGTTGGTTCTTAACAGTGAAGCCACATGTGAAGGATGATGGGAGTTGCTATCCAACATGATCTACGGGGACCCATATTCCTCAGCTTTGGCAGAAGATTTTCTACAGTTTCAGATTGTCGTTAAAGAAACACTAGTCAGTTCCAGCTGCACAGTCCAGTACTTTTAACCCACTAGCATCTCGCCGGTTAGAAACAACTGGGCTTGAACAAGAAAAAAAATATCTTGGTTTCAAGCTACGGTACAAACTGATTCTACTAGGGTCCAGAGGGGGGCAGGTTTGTGTTGCTGGATTACATACAACTCCCAGGGTTCCCCATTCAACAGAATGCTGGAAGTTGTCAACCAAAAACACAAACGTTCACACTTCGACCAGGGATCATCTTAAAAGGAAACCTCCCAACCCCACAGCTGAGTACGATGTGGGAATCCTCCCCTTAATAGAGAGGATCTACAATTGGCAGGCCTCCCGAGGACTTCCAATTATTCCAGATGTTTTTAAATTGAACTGCCCAGTCAGCCCAGCCTTGAACAACGTCTTGGTTATGTTCTAATATTAAGACTTTAAGGTAAAGGTTTCCCTTAACATTTAGTCCAGTCGTGGCCGACTCTAGGGCACAGTGCTCATCCCCATTTCCAAGCCATAGAGCCAGTGTTTTGGCCAAAGACAGTTTCCGTGGTCACGTGGCCAGCGCGACTAGACACAGAACGCCATGACCTTCCCACCGAGGTGGTCCCTATTTATCTACTTGCATTTGCATACTTTCGAACGGCTAGGTTGGCAGGAGCTGGGACGAGGGACGGGAGCTCACTCTGTCACGTGGATTCAATCTTAATGATGGCTGGTCTTCTGTCCTTGCAGCACAGAGGCTTCTGCAGTTTAACCTGCAGCGCCACCACATCCCTAAAGACTTTAGGAATATGTAAACATGTATTTATTGAATTAAGAGGATCTTTTTGCAGGGGAGGGGGGAATTGATCCAGATACTGAATACGCAGAAGCATCTTTAATAATAGAGCATAGGTTGCTGTCCTCTGAAGATGGTGGCCACAGAGACTGGCGAAACGTCAGGAAGAACAACCTTCAGAACATGGCCAAAGAGCCCAAAAAACCCCGAACAACTACCTCTAAGAATACTTGGCCAATCGGTCATTTTCAAAGCAATAATACTTGGCCAATCGGTCATTTTCAAAGCATCAGAGCCTCTCTGTTTGGCAATAGTTACATTTTCACGCTCCTGGAATTTGCTCCTACTTACGTTTTTGAGGAACGTTGTGGCCAAGGGCTATTGCCTGGGCAAGCTCTGTCGCATGCTGGAGGCGCCAGATAGCCTTCTCCTTCCGGCTGGGGAGAAAGGGGAAAGAAAATAGGTGAGGAGACAGGCCGCAGACACAGGACAGCACGCAAGAGAGCTGCAGGCAAATCGGAAGCAGATCGGAAGCTTCGCCGATCTGCCTTCTACTGCAGTGACCTGGGGGACCCAATGAGCCCTACATGGGAGTGCAACAGGATTGATGAGGACAAAGAATCTTGGGCGCTCCATCTATCTTTGCAGCAGGAGAGGGCAACCGGTAGCTGTGCAGATGAGTCCAGATGGCAACTTCCATCCGATCTAGCCAACACAGCTAACCGGGAAGAATCATGGGAATTATAGTCCAACCTCCTTACAGGGCCGCAAGCCTCCTCCCTTACTTTACCGTAAGCCCAGGGTATCCTCTGCTGAAATTGTCACTAGGGGGAGGGGAGAACCTCGTGGCCAGCTTTCAAATTATTTTCATGGTGAAACTCTCCAGAGGGACAAGCAGGGTGGATCAATGCTGTGGAAACCAACAGTTGAGGGGCCTGGATAGACGGAATGCCGGGAAGAGGAGACCGAGAGATGATGGCAGCCATCTCTAGCTCTCTGAAGGGCTGCCACATGGAAGCCCCGAGCATGTTTATCTTCTGCAGCTCCAGAGGGTAGGAGCCAAGCTCAAGACTGCGAGAACAGAAATCTGGCCTAAACATTAGGAAAAACATGTAGAGTGTAACAGCTGTCTCTGGCAGTGGAGTGGACTACCTCGGAGGGCGGTGGACTCTCGCCCTTCATCACCGGAGTTTTAAAAACACTGGTTGGGTGGCCATCTGTCAGGAATGCTTCAAGGTAAAGGTAAAGGTTCCCATTGACAATTTTTGTCCAGTCGTGTTCGCCTCTAGGGGGCGGTGCTCACCCCCGTTTCCAAGCCACAGAGCCAGCGTTTTGTCCGACGACAATCTTCCGTGGTCACATGACCAGTGTGACTTAGACACGGAACGCTGTTACCTTCCCACCGAGGTGGTTCCTATTTATCTACTTGCATTTGCATGCTTTCGAACTGCTAGGTTGGCAGGAGCTGGGACAGGTGACAGGCGCTCACTCCGTCACGTGGATTCGATCTTACGACTGCTGGTCTTCTGACCCTGCAGCACAGGCTTCTGCGGTTTAACCCACAGCGCCACCACATCCCTCAGGAATGCTTTAGCTGTGGATTTTTCCTGTTTCAGCAGGGGTCGGACCTGATGATCCTCTAGGTCCCTGATAGCTCTGCAGTTTTATGGTTCTCGAGGACATAGGCATCAAACAAAAAGCAAAGGCTTAGGAGAAGAGAGGAGCATGAACTGCAGAACTGGCAGTCTGTGTCAGTGCATTCTTTAGCCTGACAGCTGATTGGATGCTTCCCAGCCGTGCCTCCTCTGGCGGGCGACCAAAGAACAAACTGGCACGAACTGCTGGTTCGCGCCCATCTCTACTTAGGAGATCACACTCGGGGCTGCAGGAAAGGGGAAGCATGTGAGCCAACAGACGGCAGGCTCCCTGTCCCGGACCTATGCGTTCTGCAAGGAGAACAATGACCGAGAAAGGGGGACAGATGGCGCAGGAACCACCAAAATGGTTTTTGAGCAACCGAAGAACAAACTGGCACGAACTGTTGGTTCGCGCCCATCTCTACTTAGGAGATCACACTCGGGGCTGCAGGAAAGGGGAAGCATGTGAGCCAACAGACGGCAGGCTCCCTGTCCCGGACCTATGCGTTCTGCAAGGAGAACAATGACCGAGAAAGGGGGACAGATGGCGCAGGAACCACCAAAATGGTTTTTGAGCACACCAGACTTACACATCAGGCAGCAGCCTCGGGATCAGCTCCACAGTGAACCTGGAAGACAGCTGGGTGACCTCAACAGGAATCTTTTCCATGGACATGCAATGGAGGTAGAAATGCACCATGTTTTCGCCACGCGGGTCAGATTTCTCCTTTCCTTCCCCCGACTGCTCAGTGCATCCATGGGCTACCCAAGTGTAGGTGTCTGGATCCACTGTGAATTTGCTGGCCTCTGCCTTTTCCTTGGCCAGGCTGAGCTGTTGGAGGCTGTGGCTGAGGGACTCCACGCCGCTCAAGGACCGATCCACTTTCAAGCCCGAAAGGCGGATGCACAGGTAGCAGTAGCTGAAGTCCAGTTCAATGGCACACTCCTTTAAGAACGCTTTCGTGAACGAGAAGGTCCCCAGGAGATGCCCTTTACTGGTCCGTTTCTTCTCCCAGACAATCGCCACGTCGTGCAAGACGATGGAGTCGTTCTCGGCCACGGCACACGACGCTGCTTCCATGTCGGAAAGAGGGAGCCAGATTTTGCGATAATCAGAAGCATTCCTGTAAGTCTTCTTGGGCGCCAGGGTGGCATACCTGGAGAAGCAGTTTATGGGCTTCTCGGAATGCTCCAGACACACATCGAAGCCGGGGGTGACGGTCCACAACTGCACAAAAGGGACCAGGAAGCCCCTCTGGAGATCCGTCGTCAGCTGAACGCACAAGACACTGCCGGCACTGAGTTCCAGAGTCACCTCTACATAGTGCGAGCACCTGCTCCTCACCATCTTCCCCATGCTTCTCCTTTGGAGATGATGGTCCTCCTGGAGGAGAGAGCACATCTCCTCGTACTCTTGGTTCCTGATCGCAGCAAGAATGTTGGACCAGGCTTCCGCGCTGAGGAGGGTGACGCTCCTATCCCAAACCTCCGATGACTTCACAGTGCAGTCCTTTAGGGTTGTCATGGAATAGATCCTCCTCTTCCATACCAACTTTATGCTCTCCCGCTCCCTTTCGAAGAATGGCTGCACCACCAGCTGTAGAGCTCTGTAGTTGACGAGCAGAAGATCGGGAAGGGTCTCCTTGTTCAGTGGAAACAAGATCTTGAAGTTGTTGGCCGCCCCTTCGACGTTCATTACAAACGCAATCTTCTGCTGGACCTGACCCTTCAACTTCACGGCCATCTCCAAGGATCGGGACCGTTTCTCATAGGCGTTCGCCAAGCCATTCTTCCGGTTGAATTCCCGGCAAATGGATTCAATGTCCGTAGGGGAATATTGCACAGGTCTCTTTAAGATCAGAGAAAGGAGGTGCCTCTGGACCACAAGGTCAAGGTAGCGCCGGATGGGGGAGGTGGCCCAGGTGTAAACATCAACGTGCAAGGAATAATGGCCCATTTTGGACTCCATGGAAGAGTTGGAGCGCAGGAAATAAGAGCGGCCCAGAAGCTTACGAAATTCCAGGTTGACAGGGGCCAGCTTGGGGTGGATGTCATCCGTGGTGACCAGGTCGAGTATCGTCGGAATATCATGCGCCCTGGCCGCAGACTTCAGAAGATCCCACAGCAACGTCAGGAGAGCAAACTGACTGCTCCTCCCCACAGGGGCCGTAGCGGCTGAAGGCCTCAGATGGTGCATGAGGTGGGTGGACTGAGGGATGATGTCTCTGTATTTATCCCTCATTTGACACAACTGCGGTGGATTTGGCTCCATTTGGCAACGCAGAGGAGTCAAATTCCTAGTTCGATCCTCGCGGGTGAGCAGCTCCCCCAAAGAACTGTTGAAGAGAATCATAAATTCCTCGACCATTTGGTGGGAGCCTCTCTTCCCCAGAGGAGTCTCTTCGTCCAGCTGGTCATAATAACAGTCCTCCTGAAGCCTGGCCATCCGGTGGACTCGGGAGAAATGATAGGCAGTCGCCACACAGTCCTCCAGAGTGTCGAAGCGCAGCACCGGCCCCTCAACTTTGTAGTAATTCTTAATCACACTCTCCGCTTCCTCGTAACTGAGCTGCCGATCCGAGCGGATGGTGGATGCAGCAAAGGCGACGTCGACCATCTTGTCCGTCTTTTTATCCACCAAGACCAGAAGCGAGATCACGTGGCGATCTTTCTGAGGGAGGAGGCTGCAGTGGTCCTGGCTGAGCTGAGGAGGGAGCATACACACCGGCTCCTTCCCAGGGGTGTAATAGGTGGCGCCCCGGTTCTTGGCCTCCGAATCCAGGGCACTGCCTTTCGGGACCGCAGAGGCTACGTCAGCAATGTGGATGCCAATCTCATACGCCTTACCCAGGTCTCTGACGCTGATGGCATCATCCAGATCTTTAGATCCCTGGGGGTCTATGGTGAAAGTTGGGAAAGCCCGGTGGTCTTTCCGTTCACCCATCACCGGAGCCTTCTTGGAGATGAACGCAGACACCTCCTTGTTCACCGAAGCCGGGTATTCCCTGGAGAGGCAATACTCTTGGTCCAGGATTCGCAATCCTTCCTCGAGCGTGGAAGCCACCGGAAGGACGTCTGTCACAATCCCCAAAGGGTAATAGAAGCCCTCCCGCCACTTGATGACTTGGACCACGAAGAGGTATTTCTTCCGGTCTTCTTGCTTTAACTTCTTGCGCATCTTCAACCTGAACTTCCCCGCTGCGTCTACGCTTCGGATGGGAATCACGTTTGTTTCGTCTTTCAGGCCAGGCACGAAGATTTTGGTGACCGTGCGATCGACGGGTATCATCACCCGCAGGTCGTACTCATCCACCGTGCAAACAAAGACACGGTTTCGCTCTGCCTCCTTCAAGACACCCACCACTTTCCCATGGAGGTTCCCCTCCGGGGTGGTCCTGTGCTGTAGAATCTCTACCAAGACTTGGTCGCCGGTGAACGCCGTCCCGCAATGAACCCGGCCTTTGATATGGATGTGGAGGGAAGGGAAATCGTCCAGAGAGAAGGCCGAAGCTCGGTCAAACCCTTCCTTGATGAGCTCACAGCGCTTGTACATGCTGGGGTGCATGCGCAGATATTCCCTCATGGTTTGGGGCGAGTAGCTGACATACTCCCACCTGCTCCTTCCAGGAGCAGGGACCTCAGACTTCACATTCAACAGCCCTTCTTCCGAGACCGTCACCACCACGTCTTTGCTCTCGTCCAGAAGTTCCTGCAATATTGGGTCTTCAATGTTCAAACTCTCCACGTCGGACAGCCAGGAGTCTGTGTCGCTCTCGTCTTCCTCAATCTCAGCCCTCTCCTTGTTCCAGTCAGCCCGGTCACACACCGCCTGTTTTATCTCCTCCAAGGTCAGGGTTTCGGGAGACACCGCTCGGTGTTCAATGCACCCCTTGATGAAGCTCTTCCAGACCTTGCTGCATCGTCCGTAGGAACATAAAGCCATCGCGTCCCCGACAGCGATGACCTGAGACTGGGCCCTCGTCATGATGGTGTTCAATACCCGCCCCTCGTTGAAGAAGTCCAGGTTGGAGGAGTTGACAAGGTTCAAGCTTTCCCTGGTGTGGACGGTGCTGATGATAATAATGCGGAACTCTCTCCCTGTTTAAAAGAAGAAAAAGACTTTGAGAAGGGGACACCCCCCCCACGCTGCAATTTTGGAAGGGCCAGTCCTGTCAGGATGCTGGGGCTGAAGAACGGAGGATGCTGTGTGTACCTCCCTAAGAGCCTCCATCATAAAGGGAAAGCCGAGCCCTAAGCCTTTGTAAGGCCTCCATCGTCTAGGTTCTACTAGATGCCCCCTGCACGCCGCATGGAGGATGATGGGGACATGGCACACAGCATTTTCAGTTAAACAGGGCCCAGATAAGAGAAGGGCATAGAAAAGGTCCTTTTCAAAAGGCGACGGGTCCCAGGGCTCCACAGTGAGCCTAACTGCTGGCCACCACACTGACTTCCCAAGCTGCTCTCGGCCGATGGGCAGGACTACAAAAAAAAGAGAAACATCTGTCCTGGGCTGGAGGCTAGGAGGTTTGCCATTGCACACACACCAGGAGCACGCCTGTCTGGAGACCAGTGATGACAGAATAGCGGAAAACCCCCCCCCCATCTCATCTGCTGCTGAAACAACTGCAGCTAGTACTTGGCAATCCACCCACAAGAGCCACAGCGGTCCCTTGAGCGGATATATTTACCTGGCAGATTCTCGTAGGTCTCCACCATCACATCTCCCAAGCGGCTCTTCCTCAGCTCTTGTCTAAGAGTCAACACCTGGTGCCAACAGATGAAGGCGGGTAAGTTAAGTCGCAAAAAAAACACTTCCTTTTTCACGGGGCTTGCACTCGTCTCTTTGAAAAGAACCTGCTGTCTCTCGTCAATGCACAGACACCGCTAAGCTGAATTTCTGCCTCTAAGGCAGCCGTCAGGAATCGTGAGAATCATGCGAGGGATTGGGGAGAGGGCAAGAAGAATAGACACCCCCAACCCCGTAAACCCAGCCTCCTTGCCCCCCTACCTGCATGCCATAGGAGACGACACAGATTTTCTTAAGTTCCGGTACTCCCCATTCGTCCGGCCACCTCTGGAGCATCTCCTGAATCTTCTCCTTGACCTGCAGCATCTCCAGGTTGTTGTACCAAGAGGTCATCGAGAAGTCCCGTTCTGCAGTGCCAGCCACATGGCAGAACATGAGCGGATGGATCTCGGGGTGAGGGGGAACGTGGCCCTTGGCATGGATGGCATCCCCTTTGCCGGTGTAGAAATGCCTGGAGACAAAGTCGATGATGCTGGCCGTCGAGCGGTAGTTCTCGTTGAAGATGATCCGGCTCTTCAGGGCCACCTCATGTTTCTCCTTCTTGTAGTACTGGAAGAGGCGGGTGAGGATGGTGTGGTCGGCCGACTGCTCTTCCTCCCTCAAGGAGAAGAGTTTCGGGGTGACCTGCATGTGATCTCCCGCCAGGATGATCCGGGTCTCCAACGTGGCAAGAGAGAGGGGGACCAGCGCTTCGCATTCCAACATCTGGGCAGCTTCGTCAATCAAGATGTGACTGAAATAGCCAGGGTTCAAGTCAAACTCCACCAAGACCATGGAGGTGGAGATAATGATGTGGTGCCGGTCCATTTCTTCCCTGGTGGGGAGACGGAAGGAATCCCGGTTTGGGGTCAGGCAGCAGTAGCGAAGCGTGATGAGGTCAGTCGATTTGGGCGAACGGCGTGGGTACATCAGCCGTAGCGGGATGGCCTCAGGATGCCCAGCTGTGATGTAATCATGGAAGTACTCACGGATGTAGATATCAGCAGCGCTGTGCGAGAAGAATGGGGTTACTGCATTATTGTTATCAAGAGAACAAGTGTTGGGGGGGATTCTGAACCGAAACTGAAAAAAATATTTTGTTCCTATTGTTCTATACACAGAAAAAAATGAGTTTCATTCATTGAACGCTAAGAGAGGTACAGCCCATCATCTTCCTGCATCCTCCTACTTCTTCTCATACCTCAAAGGGGTGAGAAACATATAGCTCTCCATATGTTGTTGGGGGGTGTACAATTCCCATGAATAATGAGTATCTGCTGTGCTGCGAACGCAGGAAGATGCCTTGCACTACGGCGAGGCCCTTGGTTTGTCATTAGATCATTACTGCCAGGCTCTGACTGGCAACGGCTCTCTGGGGTTTGAAGCAATATTCCTTTCCTAACCCTAACTAAGGATACTCTCTGTGGTGTTAGTGGATAGTGTGATGGACTTAGGACTTGGGGGCGGAGTTCAAATTTGTCAGCAATGGAAACTCACGGTGTGTGTGTGTGTGTTGAACTAGTAAAACCACTCCTTAAATATCTCACCTACCTCACCGAAAGCCCTTTTAGGGTTCTTATAAGTCAGTTCCAACTTGACCGCAACAACAAACTTAAGCAGAGATCCCTGGTGTTCCCTCACCCAGGGTACTAACCGGGGCCGGACCCTGCTTAGCTTCTGAAATCGGACACAATCAGATGTGTTGAGGACGGTTGGGTCTGTTTCCTGGAACTGTTGTGAGTTGTGGGCAGAGAATGCCCAGAGGGACCCTGACCCCCTCAACCCATCTTTGCAGGCAACCCAAAACAGGTCCCCTTCAAAGCAACAAAAGCGAGACCCTGCAAACAGGCCGAACCTCCCACTGACCTGTTCGTGTGGGTGCAGATCAGAACTCGCTTTCCAGGCTGCTTGATGATCTCTAAGGTAGCCTTGGCTAAGGTAAAGGTCTTCCCCGTTCCAAAAGGCCCGTAGATCAAGAGAGGGGGCACCTGCCGGACTCCGGACGCCTGACCGGTGATGAAGGCGATGGCTTGGTTCTGCTTGACGTTCCCGCCTTGCAGCAGCGGGCCCTGACCGAGAGGCTGAGGGACGGAGCAGGCGGCCACGTCGGGGAGGACCAGCCGCTCGTCGCAGAGTTGGTCAACGGCGTGGTGCCACTTGCGGAATTCGAGCTGGTCAGTCTGAAACTGGACCTCCGCCTTGAGGGACATGCCGGCTTGGAGGCCCAGCTCAAAACAACAGCGCCGAGGAAGGAGAAGCCAGATGCTCCTCTCCGTGACGGCCCTGTTCTCCACCAAGACCTCGAAGACACGGTTATCTGTGGGAGGATCGGGCGCCAGGAAGGCGGTGCTGACCGATCGGTGCAAGAGGTAGCCTTCTTTGGAGTCGGGAGTCAGAGAGTAAGGGGTGGGGGCGTGAGCATACAGCTCCCCTTGGAGAGCAAACTTCATCTCCCGGGAAGGCATCTCCATCATCTGCTGAAGGGACAGGACCACTTGCAAGTTGAGCCTGCATCAGAAGCGGGAGGGGGATCAAGGAAGGACGAGGTGGAATGCCCAGGAAACAAGACAGGAAAAAGGAAGAACCACATTGTGTTCAGTGTCAAGATAAAACGCCTCCAAGCAAACCTCCTGCAACACAGCAAAGCTCTGGGCAATGAGTGGGAAACCTCTGGCTGCATCTGGTCCCCCCTTGCGCTCTATACAGTGGTGCCTCGCTAGACGATGATAATCCGTTCCACTGAAATCGCTGTTTAGCGAAATCATTGTCTAGCGAAAAGCATTTCCCTATTGGAATGCATTGAAACGTATTTAATGCGTTCCAACGGGGAAGAATCGTCGGCCATAGGAAAGCCGCTTTGCGAACCGCCGATCAGCTGTTTAAATAGCTGTCTTGCGAAGCTTAGATCCCGAAAACACCCATTTTGTGAGCGCGGCAGGAGCTGTCAAAATCGTCTAGAGAAAATCGGTTTGAGAAGCAGGGACCAAACATTGTCCAGCGAAATTCCCCCATAGGAATCACTGTTTTGCGAATCGCTATAGCGAGGCACCACTGTACTCTGCCCTGCCGAGGTTCTTCTGATGTATATTCTGCTTTAGCCTGCACCACCGTCGTCTGGCAGCTACCCAGACTCTGGATGACGTTGTCTCCATTCTAAAAGAATCGAGCGCCTCTCCTTCAAAGCCAGAAAGAGATCTAAACCAAACCAATGAAATGAAATTTGGGGAACGGGTTTTTGAAGGCATGAATGAGAGCTTGCCCTTAAAGGCAGAGTTTACCCCCCAAGAAGAGCAGCATTCTTAACCTTTGATAAGGAACAACAGAAGTGGACAGTAAAAGAGTTGGTAACAAACTCTGTATCTGCAACAAGATTAACTATAGCAAAAAATTGGAAATTAAAGCACGAATTTCAATGAAACGAACGGAATAAAGAAATATTGCTATTAGGGATGAACTAACATGCAATGTTAGGTTTATAAAGAGTTTGACAAACAAAAATATCTTTAAGAGATATCTGGGGAACTTTTACGGACGATGTATTCATTAAAGAGAAGCGTTGGTTCTCTCAATATAAACCACGGAGCACTTTGTGTTAAGTTTGTATGTGTGAAGTTTTTTATGTTCGTTTTCTATTTTCTTTGTGTGCATTTTATATTCTTTAAAGAAAAAATATATATTTTTTAAAAATACAATAAACCACGCTGCTATTTTAGATCCTATTTGTTTGTTCCACCCACCCACCATGGGAAGGTGGCCCAAGAAAAAAGAACCAGGACTCACTGGAAACCCTCCTCTCCTTCCTTCTTTCGAGTATAAACCTACAGGAATGGACAATCCGTGGCCTTCCAGAAGTGGTTAGGGCTACCACTCCCACGAACCTTAGCCAACACTGTCCAAAGTGGGAGGGAACAGCAGATGAACAACATCTGGAGTGTCACATCTCCCCACTTTTCTTCCCTGCTTCTAAGCATGCAAATTGGGCTGGAACAGCAGGTCTCAAACTTGGTTTGTCAAAGAGATCTTGGCCAACCGCATCCAGAAGCCCTGACCTTTGGCAACACCACCGAAGACTTCTAAGAGTGGCCAGTCCAAGAAGACTTGGAACACCAGTTCTGGGACCCACTGGGCCATAGTCCCTTGGCCACAGTCACTTAGCTTCATGGGGTTTGGACCTGACTGCCTCCCAACCCTAACCTGCCTTCCTAACCACTACAGCCCACTGCTCCCCACTAGAACAATGAGTACCTCTTACTGGTGCTAAAAAGCTGTATTTGGGGGGGGGGAGAAAAACAGAAGTGGGACAGAGACTTCTAACAAGGGTGAGAAATACATTCCAATTCCCAGCTGCCTCTGAAGGGGGAAGATAGGAAGGCTAAAAATTAAACAGGATTGGGTCCACTCTAGGTGACGCAACCTGAAGCGTCATCCTTCGGATGCCACTGCAGTCGCAGGTGTGCTCTCACCTGGCAATCAAAGCCTGCTGTGCTTCCTCCTCTCTGAACAGGAAGTTGTGCATCTCCTCCCGGTAGTTCAAGCGGGCGATGGGTTTGCCCTCGGCGCCTCTCCGGAAAGCCAGCGAGAGAGAAGGGGCCTTATATTTGGCCAGCAGCTCCACCTCCTTGCCAGTACGTTCCACGCTGGGCACCACCACCCGGTTGCCGCTGTGCCAGCGTTCAAAGTCCACAAAGTGGCTGTCCCCGGTCGTCTGTGCTGCTGGATCCACGTGCCAGGAGGTCTGCTTCTGGCCCACCCTGGCCTGGAGCTTCCGGACCAACACTGGGCGGGTGCCAAAATCGAACACCACCCACTGCTCGTAAACCCCAAAGGTGTGGCACTCCATGCACACCTCCACCTCCACGGCCGGCGGAGAGGCCTGCCGAGTCCTGAACCTCTTTCCCGAGGCGTAGGTAAGACCCCGGCTGTGCCCGTCCAGGGTGAGGAAAAAGGCCGCCCCGGGGACCCGCCTCAGCAGAGCCACGTGGGCCAACGGCTTCTGAAATTGAAAGAAAGCAACACAGGCCATAAAGTACCGTATTTTCTGTGTATAAGACGCCCCCCCCATTTTCTAATCCAAAATTAAAAAATCTAAGTGGGGCTTAGCAAGTGTAGGGGGAAAGGGATCAAAGCGCTGCAGAATTGCTTTGATCCCTGCTTTCCCCTCCGCTTGTTTTTGTTCTCGCCTAAGCTTACTTCCGTGTATAAGACGACCCTCAATTTTTAGACAAAAGTATAGTCTTATACACGGAAAAATACGGTACTTCCTATCAACCACACCAGGATTGGCAGAAGAGGAGCCGTGATGAGCCCTAAGGCCCACCCGTCCCCATGACGTCCCCCCACATCCCACCAGTTTTAAACCCCAAAAGGCAAAGGGGTTCTGGAATACTGGAAGTGGAGCCCATGAGGACTCAGGTCAATTCCCATGGGAAAATGGGTCCCCATATCCCCAGTGGGCACACACGGGGGCAAGTTAAGTTTTGGGGTGTCTGAGCGTGGGGTAACCCCCAAGAAATCCAAGGAAGATGTGCAAGCCCCAGACCTTAAGATGTTGCCCATTCTGAAGGCTTCTCTCCTCCCCTGCAGCTCACCCGGAGACCTGCCTGGGTTTTCCTCTATCTCCCTTCTGGCCACCCTGCACCCTCCCCCTAAGCCAGGGAAGGAGAAAAGGAAGAAGGCCTATCACACAACTGTCGAGAGCCCAATCATCCTCGACGCAGGCAGGTATGGTTCAAATTGACCACGTTAAGTCTCTGTGTGTGACGGTCTCCAGTATCTCTCTTCCCCCACAAGCTCACCCGGGAATGGACGGTGAAAACCCAGCGGTGCTGCATCTTCTTGTCCTCCGAATGGACCCGGAGCGGCTGAGCGCAGGTGACGTTCACACCCTCCACTTCCTCGGAAATCTGGAGAGAGAAGCAACACAAGAGTGGCAGGAGGATAAGCAGAGAGATGGGGGTGTATGGCTTTGGGGGGGTTATAATTTGGGATGTGCCCTAGCACCCACATTCAGATTCAGAATTTGGATTTGGAATCTTAAAAATTTGGTATTTGTGGGTATCCGGAATTCCGGTTACAGTCCACATGAATACTATATAGTTGTTATTTTCTTCTTTTAAAAAACACAAACAGGGAAAACATTTTAAAATGATTTCCTTGTGGTCTCCGACACCTTCCCAGTGACTGGGCCAAACAAATAAGAGTGCACACCAACAGCCAGCAGTGCGAGGTATTAGAAAACGATTGTCGTGGGTATACGGACTGAATCCTAAACAGTGGAAATACCAGCAGGAAATGCAAGCCGCACTGGGGAAGCAGAGGAGAGATCGCACTGGGGAGGTGGGCACATACCCTGGGCATTCCTGGCAGGCAGGCGGGATGATCAGATAGCCCATGGTGGGTGGGAACAGTGCCAACAGCACGGGGGCACAAGACAGCGGAGTAAGTGAACACAAGCTTGAGTAGCCGTTGGAAGCACGAAAGAGGCAGGAGGAGAGGGCAGGAGGCTGAAGCATGGGATACCTAGTACTGTGAGCAGAGGGTGCCATTCTCTCTTACTTAAAGGGGACTTCGGGGGAGCCCAGCCATGATAGGATGACCTTAAGCAAAACAAGTTTTTTTTCTCTACAGATCCAGGTTTCAGGCATGAGCAGCTCAAACAGAAATTTGGACCTATAAATTGATCTGTTTCGGACTACAAGCCTGATTAGCCACGCTAGTTGGGAAATTCCAGAGGTCACTGCCAGAAGAAGTTATTCTTCCTAAGCTTTGGTCTATCCCGGCCTTATCAGCTGGCATAGCTGAATAGAACTTCCATGAACAGTAGAGGTGTAGCTGTCTATACACAGCGGAGGACACAAAGACCACAGGAGGGTTACTGCCTTTATGGAAAGCTTATAAGCTTTCCTAGAAGCACTTTTAGCTGTAGAGAAATGAGACGTGGAGCGAGATCACAGAATTTTTCTCCTTACAGCCCACAGCTTCTCCTAGCAACCAACAACTTACAATTAAGACTTCATTGCGGCTTTCTTGGTATTCAGCAATAAGCCGGTCCTGGTAAGCCAGAAGGCCGTCCTGCTTCGCAAACCTCCTGTTTTTCTCTGCCGCTTTGGCCCTCTGGATCCACTCTTCCAGCTCCTCAGGAGAATGGGCTTTGGTACAATCCTGCCCATACTCACAGATGTCCGCTCTACAGGGAGGAAACCAAGCCACAGCTATCATTCCAAGAAGATGGAGGAGACCGGGTGAACTCAGGAAAAAAAAAACAGCTGATTTCCCTTGCTGACCACCGTCATTAGGGTTCAAGCCAGTCTCTAACTGCAGAGCCTTTACCGTCATTAGGTATAAAGCCAGTCTCTAACTGCAGAGCCTTTCCCCTTCATTTTGTCAACCTGCTTCCCCCCCCAAGACTGAGCTTCTTGGGGACCCTTTAAGAGGGACGTGGCCCCCAACTGCTGCCACTGCCCGCCTCCCCCCACCAAAATTCAAGCCATCCCTCCACTTATCTTTTTCACTGAAAAAGGAGCCATTTCTAACACATGCTCCTTCTCCCAGAGGTTGCCTGTACCCCTGGAAGTGCTATTTTCCACCACAAACAAGATGCACGCCTTGCATACACCTTGTTTCCATGGTTCACAATGCTTCTAGGGAGGCAGCCTATGATGCGCGTCTTGTTTTTTGACTTTTAAGGTCCATTTCAAAAAGAGCTGATTTTTCACCTCCCCCCAAGAGAGAGATTAAATTCTGCTACCTTTTGGTCACAGAGGCACCCTCTCCCTCTGTGGCTCAGCCCTGCTCTCTGACACAGCAAAAGGCTGGTGAGCTGGCTTTATAAGGTAAAGGTTTCCCTTGACATTTGGTCCAGTCGTGTCCGACTCTAGGGCGCGGTGCTCATCCCCATCTCCAAGCCGTAGAGCCAGCATTTGTCCGAAGACAGTTTCCGTGGTCACGTGGCCGGTGTGACTAGACACGGAACGCTGTTACCTTCCCACCGAGGTGGTCCCTATTTATCTACCCCCATTTTTATATGCTTTCGAACAGCTAGGTTGGCAGGAGCTGGATTCAATCTTACGATGGCTGGTCTTCTGACCTTGCAGCACAGAGGCTTCTGCGGTTTAACCCGCAGCGCCACCACATCCCTATCTTTTTAAACATCCAGACCAAAGCAAACCAAGACAACCCATCAGGGCAGGGGACATTGTAGCCACAAACTGAGTGTCACAAAAGAGGGAAGCGATGAATCCTTTCCTTTTGAGCACTCAGCAGCCTAGAAAGGGTCTCCAAAAGTCAAAAGGTTGACATGCATACAGAAGGATGGATGGGTTCGTGAAAGAGCCCTGCTTACCGGCTGCAAAGAGAGAAGGTCTTCGAGTCGTACGGAGGGGCACGATGCTTCCACTCGGTCATGACGTCCGAGGAGACCAGCTGCGCATGCTCCACGGAGGAACAGTGATTCTCAAAGCTCTCCTGGGAGTTGCAAGTCACCAGGCACACCCGGCAGTAGAAGCAGATTTGGGGGTCCGGGTTCCCCTCTCCCGCCTGACCATCCGCCAATGGGCGCAGGAGGTCGATGCGCGCCAACCCCCGGTTCTGCTCGGCCTCCCAGACCGCCCGCTCCACGTCGCTGTGAGCAAAGTAGCACCGACTCGCCTTATGCCGGCACGGTCTTCCCGCCGAGATGTATCGGCAAAACTGGAACTTCTTCAGGCCGGCCGGACAGGGCCGGATCTCGGTGTACTGCTCCTTCATCTTCCCGTCTACAACCACGTGGGCCAAAAGCGGGCTCCAGTGGCCCTCGCACGCTGGCAAGGAGTTCCTCGCGCAAATCCGTTGCGGGGTCTGATAAAAACAGCTTTTGCAGATCTCCTGGAAATGGCCTCCGAACTCGCTCAGGATTTGCTCCGAGGCGCTGGCATCCAGCAGCTTGGAGACCCCGTTGGCGAAGCGGCCGGTCTGAAGCTGGCGCAGCAGCGTCTTCAGGACGTGCCTCTCCAGGCCCTTCTCCCGCTCAAACGTCCACACAACGACCTCTTCCGGGCTCCAAGCGAAGGTGCAACGGTTCCGGTGCTTGGCGCAACCTGAGCCCGCAACGTAATACCTGCAGACGTCGTAGTGGGCTGGGTTGGGGAAGACTGGCCTCCTGGCGATCTTCCGCCACACCTTCCTCCGCTGACTCTCTTTGCACCTGGCCAGGAGGATCTCCATCACACACGGGTGCTCCACCTCCTTCAGCCGGTAGGTGGTCTCGTTTTCCCCTATTTATCTACCCCCATTTTTATATGCTTTCGAACAGCTAGGTTGGCAGGAGCTGGATTCAATCTTACGATGGCTGGTCTTCTGACCTTGCAGCACAGAGGCTTCTGCGGTTTAACCCGCAGCGCCACCACATCCCTATCTTTTTAAACATCCAGACCAAAGCAAACCAAGACAACCCATCAGGGCAGGGGACATTGTAGCCACAAACTGAGTGTCACAAAAGAGGGAAGCGATGAATCCTTTCCTTTTGAGCACTCAGCAGCCTAGAAAGGGTCTCCAAAAGTCAAAAGGTTGACATGCATACAGTAGGATGGATGGGTTCGTGAAAGAGCCCTGCTTACCGGCTGCAAAGAGAGAAGGTCTTCGAGTCGTACGGAGGGGCACGATGCTTCCACTCGGTCATGACGTCCGAGGAGACCAGCTGCGCATGCTCCACGGAGGAACAGTGATTCTCAAAGCTCTCCTGGGAGTTGCAAGTCACCAGGCACACCCGGCAGTAGAAGCAGATTTGGGGGTCCGGGTTCCCCTCTCCCGCCTGACCATCCGCCAATGGGCGCAGGAGGTCGATGCGCGCCAACCCCCGGTTCTGCTCGGCCTCCCAGACCGCCCGCTCCACGTCGCTGTGAGCAAAGTAGCACCGACTCGCCTTATGCCGGCACGGTCTTCCCGCCGAGATGTATCGGCAAAACTGGAACTTCTTCAGGCCGGCCGGACAGGGCCGGATCTCGGTGTACTGCTCCTTCATCTTCCCGTCTTGAACCACGTGGGCCAAAAGTGGGCTCCAGTGGCCCTCGCACGCCGGCGAGGAGTTCCTCGCGCAAATCCGTTGCGGGGTCTGATAAAAACAGCTTTTGCAGATCTCCCGGAAATGGCCTCCGAACTCGCTCAGGATTTGCTCCGAGGCGCTGGCATCCAGCAGCTTGGAGACCCCGTTGGCGAAGCGGCCGGTCTGAAGCTGGCGCAGCAGCGTCTTCAGGACGTGCCTCTCCAGGCCCTTCTCCCGCTCAAACGTCCACACAACGACCTCTTCCGGGCTCCAAGCGAAGGTGCAACGGTTCCGGTGCTTGGCGCAACCTGAGCCCGCAACGTAATACCTGCAGACGTCGTAGTGGGCCGGGTTGGGGAAGACTGGCCTCCTGGCGATCTTCCGCCACACCTTCCTCCGCTGACTCTCTTTGCACCTGGCCAGGAGGATCTCCATCACACACGGGTGCTCCACCTCCTTCAGCCGGTAGGTGGTCTCGTTTTCCGGTTGGGCGCACTTCGAACAGGCCAGGTGAAGCACCACCTGCTCTAGGAGGGGCTCCAGCAAGCCAGGGACCATCCCGTTCAGCTGCGGCATCGTGTCCAAGAAGTCTGAGAAACAATGCTCCTCCCGACACGGACGGAGGGGCACCCAGAGGGCTTCTGGGTCCCCGTTCTCGGCAGTCCTCGAGATTTACCTAGAATTGACAAACCAAAATTTTAAGTCGTCCAGCGATTAGGACAAAGGGCTGTGCTTTTGGAGCTGCTGAACATGTGACATCGGATCCCGGATGCCCTATGAGCTCCCAACATTCCCAACCATAATGGCTTAACTGGAACGGTGTCCCCCCCCCCGCCGTCTCCTTCGGCAGAACCGACGCACCTCCTCTGTTCTCTGGGAGAGGTAAGGAGATCTTGGCGGCAGTTCCCAGCCTGTAGGAGGGGTTAAAATAAAGAGCCGGCAGCCATTTAAGCCACATTCTAGTTGAGACTCATCACAGGGGCTTTGCACTATAACTCCCACCAGTCCCAGCTGGCATGGGGAGAAGAGGCCAGTTATGGCAGGGTTTGTAATTTAAAATGTCTGGAAGACAAATGGTTGAGGAAAGCTTTGCTGAACAACAAGGAGGCCAGATGAGGGATAATCCGATCCCGTACCAACTGAACGTGTCGTCATGAGCCCAGGCACCGGACAAGCAAGGATAGGAACTGCAGACTAACTACAGGGCCCCCCCCCTGTATCCGTGGGGATTGGTTCCAAACCTGCCCGTGGAAGTTGAAAAACGTGGATAATAGCAAACAAAAATTTAATAACATGGTCTCTGGCTCCCTCTCGTGGCCAGTTTTGGTAGCTTCACCTTTAGAAATATCTATTTCTAGGATTTTTCTTTTGATATTTTTAATTATTTTCCAACTGTGGATAAGTGAATCAGTGGATACTGATTCTGCAGATACAGGGGCCCTGCTATATTAGAAGACAGGCACTAATATGGGCACTTGAAAGAGATTTTCTGAGAATCATCATCTGTCACCATTCCGCGCTTGAGACCAGCTGCAATCCCCACAAGTCCCTTTGTGGGAGTGGGTTTTCCCAGGGTCAAGAAGCCGTTATGTCTTAAGTGGGCCATTAAGACCCTTTAGTTTTATGAAAGAGCCCAGTACTGATTGTTTATTGATATGGAATAATGATACAGTGGTGCCTCGACTTATGACCATAATCTGTTCCAGAAGATGGACGTAACTCAAAATGGTCGTAAGTCAAAGAACCATTTCCCTCCGGCAAAAAATATAAATGAATAAATAAATAAAGCACACAGCAAGCCCAATCAGAAGGCACGGGGGCTTTAAAAAAAAAATAAACAGGAAAGCAAGCTCCATTGCTGGAGCTTTGAAAAAATAAATAAATAAATAGGAAAGCAAGCTCAGTCACTGGGGCTTAAAAAACAACAACCAAAAGGCACTCGGACTGCAAAAAAAAAAAAAACACTAAACAAAGGAGCAAGCTCCACTGCAAGGCACTGGGGCTGCAAAAAAAAAAACCACCAAAAAACAAAACAACAACACAGCACAGAAACAAACCCCCCCAGCCCAAAACCGCACTGCAAAACCCACCCAGAACAGGTTTTAGTGGTGTAGTGGACAAAGCGATGGGCTAGGGACTCTGAAGTCTTAGATTCAAATCCCTGCAAACTCACAGGAAAAGGATGGACCTCGTAAAACCAATCCTTACATGTCTCAGTTATCTTGAAAGCTCTATTAGGGTTCATAACAGATACTGTAATATCGCATGGCAGGCTACTATAACAGGAAGAGTTACTGTGTAGGCTGGCCTGTTGAAGAAACAGATCCAGTTTTCTTGGGGGTTACCCTGGCTGGAGGATTCTAGGATTTGGAGTCATAACGGATAATATAGCATGGAAGGCTGCTATAACAGGAAGGGTTACTGTGTAGGCTGGCCTGTTGTAGAAACAGATCCAGTTTTCTTGGGGGTCACCCTGGCTGGAGGATTCTAGGATTTGGAGCAAAAGCAGGATTACAGTTGAACATGAAAAAAAGAAAAAACAACCCTACCAGAAATTGCATAACTTTAACAATAACAAAGATCCTCAACATTTTAAAGAGTTTCTATAGCACGGTCCAATCACCAGCCAAAATAGGCTCTGCAGCCATAGAATCAGAAAACAGAGTAGACCTTTGGTCTAGATGGGTGGGGTATAAAGCTAATAAAATACGATAAATAAATAAATAAATAAATAAATAAATACATAAATACATAAATAAATAAATTTTTTTAAAAAATGACTCGGACTTGGAAGGGCAGCCATGAAGAAACCCAAAAAGATCCTTAAGAGTCAGGATAAATCACGATAAATAAATAAGAAATAAATAAAATGACTCGGACCTGGAAGGGCAGCCACGAAGAAACCAAAAAAGATCCTTAAGAGTCAGGATAAATCACTGGAACCAAGGCGAAGATCATCAAGGTTGTGATCCTGGCCACGTACAGATAAGAAAGCCAGAGAGCAAAGAAAGCCGATGTGGGGGGAAAAAGATTCATTCAAAATGTGAGAGCTTTACGAATGCCACGGACTGACAGGAGGATAAATAAAGCGAATGCCAGAGTGAATCAAGCTTAAACGCTCTCTCCAGATGTAAAAATTACTAAGCGGAAGTTACCGTATTTTGGATACAGGATGAGAACATAAGACAATCAGAAAGAAAATAAAGCAATCAGAGCTGCGATCAACATGGAGCAACACGATTGTTACCCACGTCACCAAAATCTGGAGGAACACTGAATGTGAGATAGATGGACTCCCTTAAAGGAAGCCACAGCCTTGAAATTGTAAGAGCCTGTTGTGGATCACACTTTCCAGAGGTCGTCAGTTGAAAGTCACCGTAAATCAGAAATGTATTGATGGTACATAACCACAGAAACTGGAATAGGAGAAGAAGGGATTTCTTATCCAGGGGTCTGGCTGATCACTACGGCTTTCTTAACCCCACTTTGCTCAGGAACCCCCATCGGTGAAACTACCAAAACTATTTCCTGCTCGCATCCCAAACACGAACCATTTTTTTCGCCCTCTTCTCCAGCTCCTTCGCCACCGAGCCCCAAACCTTCCACACGGCTATGTCCCCATTAGGTCACGTCGCTTCTTAACTTTGCTCTCTGGGCTTGGACATTCTACCCTTCGCAACTACAGCTCCCAGAATCCTCCAGCCAGCCATGGGTGCCAACCTCTACACACTGACTGCAATAGTCCCCCCCCCAAAATAATAATAATAAAATTCTGAATGCCAGGAAGGAGAATCAGGAGAAGACAGAAATAAAGAGAGAAGTAAAAAAAGACCGAAACCAAGTTGAGTCATTCTTCAAACCCAAAAGTCTGAAGTTCTGTTTGTTGTTGAAAGAGACACAAAAATCCCTCGTGAGCACCTAATGAGTCAGAAAAGTCCATCTGACCCCGAACGCTGACACTTTGAGAACTGGGTGGAGGAAGACCACAAAACAGATGTTTCTAGAAAACAGGCGGTCGATAGAGTGACTCACAGGGATGCAGTAAATATCGGACAGGCTCAGCCCAGCAAAATGATCCTGAGAAATCAGCAGACGGGAGTCTGTCTCTTCAAGAGCATAACAATAACTTTTGGTTGACTAACCCATAATAAAGTTGAACCAGCTGTGTTTACTCGCATGCCGGCGGAGACTGCTTCCTATTCGTGCAGCTGAACATTTGCTAAAAGCAGCCTCTCGAAAGCCGTTCGGGGGCTCTCCTCTTAAAACTGCTGCTCCCAACCCCGAGCCAGTTTATGCAATAATTAATCCAACTAAAACTCTACAATTAATTGGCTAAGCATTCAACTTCAAAAGTGACAATCCTACAAAAACGTCTGCGGTGATCCAGGAAGAAATCTCATTTGGGAGCAAACAGAACGGGTTAGGAAGCTTTTTGGAGGGACTACAACCTCCAGAATCCAGAGGGGCCATGTAGTTGGGAGGATTTGGGGAACTGCAATCCAAAACAGCTTCTTTTCCAAGTTCAGGGAGGGAACAAAGCTAGCTTGGATCAGTGAAAGGATAACACCACCAGGGATGGGTCTTTCAGAACTCTTCCGACTACAAATCTCATAATTCCCCATTCTGGGAGTTCTATCTTCAGACTCACACCTTCCTGACACCTGAATGTGGCTTACATGGGAGAAAAGCATCAAAAGGAAGGTGTGTAAAAAGCTAAGCATAGGCTCTATACTCAAGCTTCCTATTCCTGCCCCAGTGCCCGCTGGGAGTTTTCTTTATGAACAGGAAGTTAGGACCTAGGCCTAGTAAAGTTTTAAAGCCGCCCAATTGAGGCCTTTCTCCCAGGTGAGCAACATTTAGGTGTCCGTCAGGTAGGACTCCCAGAATGGAGAATTATGGGATTTATAGTCCCAGAAATCCAAAACCCCATCCCTAAATCCACTTCCTGTCTGCTCACCTACAGTTAACCTTTCCTCAGTTCCAAATTCAACTGGATATTATACCTGCACCCAAACACCACCGCCCAGACCACATCTATTTAAGTATCAAAGAACTGATAATAGACAGGAACAAAAATAATATATTGAATGAGGATTGCCCTGCCCAAATGGGTTTACACTGGTGTGTCCGATCACATTGACTGTGCATGCTGGGAGCAACGAGGCTGTATTCCAACACACCTGGAAAGCCTCCAGACTGAGTAAGACAGGTTGATGCTGCACACCATACAGAATGTATTATTTTTTTAACTGTTATGTTTATATCCCATCTTCTCTCCAAGAAGCTCTCTCTTCCAGCACCTGGTACTCGCCAGGGCCAGAATCCTGTTCACTTAGGTGATCCCAGAAAGCCGATCATACAAGTGTTCCTTTCCAACAGGTCCTCCACACCATAAGTGATCATAAGCTGCTGCACACGGAAAACAACTGTATGCCTGCTCTTGCCCATGTAATTCTGGAATTGCTGGATAGCCATAAGTATAGATTTAGGGATAGCTTATATGTTTAGGTATACAGAAGCACCCCCTTATCCAAATGATCATTACTCAATGATCCACTTATCCAAAGTCTGAAAATATTAAAAACATTAAAAGAAAAAATCCTGAATTTTTTTACATGTATTACCAGAAGCAGCCACTAATGGGAGCCAGAGAGACCGTGCTATGAATACTTATTC